AAACTTTTGTATGTATTGCAAATTTAAAGGAGATCGAAAGTATTGCATACAATTCTGGGCCCACAATGTAAAAACATGAAAATAGTATTAATTAAAAGGTTCAAAATTAAGAGTTTCTTCATTGAAAATTCTATAGAAATTGGCAATCAGATATCTGAGTTATTGAAGGTTCAGTAAAAGTGAGGTTATATCGCATTATCTTTAAGAGTTAGATGAATATACATACTTAAAAGTATGTGAAAAATAATAATTTTATTTAGAAAAGAATATCTGATAAGTTATAAAAAGGCAAGAAAGACTCAAAGACATACAGATATCGGTAACAAGTATGGAATATTACGAGGAACAGGGGTAGTGAACTATGTGATAAAAGTCATAAAATAAAACAAATAATTTTAATGGAATATGTATTTTATTCCTCTTCAGTAATAATTAAAATATCGTCAAGGAACTATGCAGGGGGTACAATGTTACTAGTTGCTATCAAACAATTCACACAGCGATCAATCGTTTCAGTAATATCCAATCCATAAGCCGGCGAAATAATACAAATTAACAATTCCAAGTCAAACGTGCAGGCGATCGTCGGTGTCCAATGTGAAAGCAAGGGTCGTAAAACGTTAGGCGAGTTCGGAGTCCGTAAAAAACAAAGCATTGGTCGTTGAAAACGTAAAACGATCGGGAAAACACTCGAAACTTATCAAAAAACACGAAACAAGTGAGACTCATAACAATGCATCTGGCATGGTAATTGTTAAGTGTCAATGTTATGTTGCCATAGACTATATACTGAATGATTTCGATCGATATGGAATCTATAATCGAAAAGGATGTTTTAAAATAATATTTAATACTATTTTTATATTAATACACCACCTTATTGAAAATTATTTTTATTGAACTGTAGACATATATGGTGTAGTTTAAATGAAGTTACTATAAGTTGAAAACTAGGAGTGAAGTTTTTATTTTAAGTAAATAATCGAATAATCATTTTTATTTAATTAATCGTTAATCGATTGCTTCATAAAAACAGTTATTTGCATATTTCTCCGCTTGTAGATTGAGAATTTATGCAGATTTTTGGTATTTCATACAAAAAAATAAAAAAAATTAAACCAAATTTGAACTCATAACATTTTGGGCAAACCAGTTTCCATCTCCTTTAATTATATTTGTTTAATTATTGTTTAAAACTTATTTAATATTTTTCTTTCTTACGACGGACAAACTTCTTATTAAATTGTATATATCGAGGATGTGCAATGTCGCCGCTAGCCAGCTGAGCGGCCACTGAGCCTCAATTTTGCTAGACGGGGCTATCTCCCTTACCGAGCTGCGATATTATTTTATTCGCTGGCTAAAGGTAGCCGAATTGGCTGTATATATTTTTTTGAAATATTTAATTAACAAATCATTTTTATGCAGAAAAAAAAAGATTATCAACATTCAACACTCAATTTCAATAAGTTTTATGTATATGGTATAGCATGGATTTTAAAACGTAAACTGTCTCGCAATATATACAATATGTATATAATTATACTACAGCTAAATTCGATGTGGAATGTTTAATAACAAAGCGTTGCTTAGCAACCAACGTCAGGCAGATGCTCAAAATATTTTTAGAAATACATATTTAAAAAAATATTTAAATTTTTATTCTATAGTACTTATTAAGATAATATTTTATAATACTTAATTATTTAATAATACTTTTTAAAACAAAATGCAATCAATAAAAAGAAAAAATCTTGATTCGAAAAAAAAATATTCTGGTAACACTGCTACGCCGGGCACGTCACTCGTCACTCGTCAGTGACTGACGGTCAGTCCGCTTAGACTGTAGTTGTGTGACGTTTGTCCTTTATCGCTACGGCGACACTCGCACGCGCACTCTCGCTTACGAAAATTAATCTCCTTCTGTATTAATAGCTTGTAAGTAGTTTAAATTGTTAAATCTTGCTTAATTCGCTAAACATATAATACAATAAAATAATGATTCGTTGCTAAAATGAGGTATAGTTATAATATTTCTTAGTTAGTATACATTCTTAATAAGAAAAGAAGATAATAATAATAATTACTTAAAATAATGAATTCTAAAGATTTTTTTGCAACTTGCAAGGATACGCTTTTGTAGTCATATAATGGTTGTGTCCCTTTCTAATTTTATTGCATTACATTTGTTATCTTCTATAATATAATAAATTGTCTTTAGACTAATCTATGAAATGGAAATCGCGGAGAAAGATCTTATACCTATTTCTTTTCAGTTTAATAATTAGCGATTGTTAATTGGATATAAGTTATAATACCATTTTTATTCATTTAAAGGATCTATGATATCCAGGACAACTCTTTAGTTCGTCGAGGAAAACCAACAGCACATTTGGTCTACGGTGTTCCCTTGACCGTAAACTGTGCTGTTCAAGTAATGGCGGAGTCAATGAAAATAGACCTCGAGTTAGTACCAGATGCATCGGTCTGGTTATAACTATTTATTAATGTAATTAATAATTAACAGAAGTAACTTAAAATATAAATTGTAGAACGAAATCCTTTCATAAAGAGTTGTTGAAAACTGTAGGAAATTTTTATGATACAATAATGTAGACTACGTATAATAATTATGTGAATAATATATATTTTTACAGAAAGTCAAGGGATTCGCGGATCAATTATACGACATGTGGCAGGAACAAGGCACTGAGATTTATTGGGAGCAAAACTTCATTTGCCCCACTGAGGATCAATACAAAAAGATGACACACATGAGTAATATATAACTTATACATTTTTCTAACGTCTACGTTTTAACAAATCTGTCCTATATAAATAAATATCGTTACTATCAAATGAACAAATATCTCACTGATAATATTTTACATTAAACAGACTTTATAATTCCAACAAATTTAAATTTATCATAACAGTTTTAGAGAAATTTAATTGAAATGTGAATGTTTTTCCAATTAACGATGATCATTATATTTTTTATTCAGCTTCGAGATGACTTTTGTAATCTTCGTGTTTTTGGGTTCCTAATATAATTGATTTATATATATCATTTTCGAAAAAAAATTATATCATACTAGCATTTCCCCTGCAGCTTCGCTCGCGTGGAGTTCGGTTAAATCACGTTTATAAGAGAACCTTTCAAAAGTCTAGGATAAAAAGTATCCTATGTTCTTTCTCAAGGACAACTCTGTATCTGTAACAAATTTCATGAAAATCAGTTCAGTGGTTAAGGCGTGAAAGCGTAACAGACCGACAGACAGAGAGAGTTACTTTCGCATTTATTATATTAGCAGGGATTCATTATGTGTATTACTATTCCAGTTAAACAGCAATGGCAGTTTCTGTGAAGATTTATCAGAAGGAAAGATCACGTTACCCATCATACATGCATCCAAAACATCAGTGGGAAGCGAAGTTTTACGTGAGTACACTAAAACTCAGTTACTTATTGTATACATACGAGAACGTATTTGTGTGGGTCAAACATAGCAGTTTTATGTAACCCTTCGATAAATATGCAATCATTATTCTTCATAATTGCATCATGTCATTTCATAAACTTGATGAGTTACATATCAATTTAAAATTAAGAGTTTTGAGAACTTCGTGTGATTTTTTTACTCGTTTCATGAGATCAGGTCCGCCTACGAAGTTTCTTCCTTGATGCTCTGTTTCTAATACTTTATTGATGTTAATTTTTGTCATCATTTTTGGTGTTTAGGAAATAAGTATAAACATAACTAGATGGTAATTCAGTAATAGTAAAGTTTTTCGTGATCATATTTTTATTACTGTCAGGTATCTTACGACAGCGTACCCGTTATATTAACCTGAAGAAATACTGTGTGTCTTTGTTGGAGAAACAGACTCAGTGAACTTGATCGAGAAGCTCGGGCTGAGGTGAATCAACTATTTTAACATAGTATTCATTGAAGTGTGATTGTTTTAAATTGAAGTATACAACCTAGGTTTCTTACAGGTCGCCCGTTTAGGAGGAAACCCACTACTGGAAAAATGTTTGAATGATCTTAGTAGCTGAAAGGATGACGTAATGATCAAATAATTACTACACTATTTTGTTACACGGGACACTGTTAACCAATAATATTTAGAAGGTGTGGAGTACAAAGACTCGCAAGTCTTTAAAATATATTTTTGTTATATTGTTTATCCGATATTTTAAGACATGAATATAAAAGCAATTTTTGTGTTTTTTCTATTTCAACAAATTATTTTAATTTCTTCACGCTTTGTTCATGTATAAGGTTACAATTCTTCCTAAATTTCATGTATAAAAAGATCTTGACCAATTTATAAAATGTAATTTATGACCGTACTTGTTACAATAATAATAATCAAAGTTATCTATAACATAAGAATTATAAATAAGAATTATATAGATAAGAATTTAATATAACACAAAAATACATTATTTTTTAACACTAGAAAGACCGAAATTTTGAACTACCTATAAAGACCAAGTGGGGTCAAATGACTCATTCATGGGTTGTAATGTTTTATTCGTGTAAAATGGTTTTAAGTTTTATTGATTAACATATAATAGTAAATAAAAGAACTTAATACTAATTAAAACATCTATTATGTGATAAAAAAATGAATATATTAGGCACATTTTTGACATTTTAGCTCCTTATTTACATTACAAGAGCCACACAAAAGCTTTTTACAACTAATACAAGATTTATTGGTTTTGTTCCTGCATTTTTGCACGTAACACCGTTTTCTCTTTCCACTAGCATGGAGTCATCAATGATAAGTTTCCATGCAGATAAAATACTTCCTTTGTAACACCTCTTTGCAAAAGAAGTTGGTCCAGCTTCCTCTGTTAGAATATTATGTCGTGGACGACGACCAGGTTGATTCAAACCTGATAAGTTTCCAGGAGTCCAACTTACACCGTTAGAAGATACCTCGACATCAGTGTTGTGGTGAATAATTTCAGTTTGTGCTCTGGAACCTCAGCCACGATGCCCTCGACCCCGACCTCGACCTCTTCCTCTTCTCAGGTTTGCGCTACGTAATGTCGAGAGGGGTACTGAATCTGAAACAGTGGAGTAAACGCTAATATAATAAAATGTTTTCTTTTCTCTCAATATCAAAATTCTTATTTTATTTACATCAATATATAAAATAATATACACCTACCATCAGAATCGCTATGAGTGTGACTATCATCACTAGAAGAATCACTATTTTGTGTAATATTGTAATCACTTTCTTCACTTTCTGAGTTTAAATGCAAAATGTGCCTCTCTTCTTCAGTCGGTTCACAATCTGATTGGTCGTCCGGTAAATTTTGCAACACTTCCAATATTTGAGAAGGGCGAAGGGAACGATAATGAGGCATTATATTATTATGGCGAGCCGTGATACGTCTTAGCTTTGACAAGCACAAAACAAGAAAGAAACGAAATATTTTATTTCAACTGCCCACAACACGAGTATATTCAACAAAATGTAAATATTTACAAAGCATGCACGCAGTGGTGTCAAATGACCACTGTGGTCTTTCTAGGTAGGTGATAATTTTTAATTAGTATTTATCTTGCTATCGGTATACACATATCAGAATAATATAAACAATGACGAAATATTAAAAGTCATAAAACAACAATGACTTCAATGCTATGGTTTTGATAATATGATTGATCAATAACTTCATTGGGGTCATTTGACCACTCTGGTCTTTCTAGTGTTAAACAATTTATTCAAACATTTAACTTTTGTTAACAAAGTCCATCATTTTTAAATATGTATTATTATATTAAGAATAGAGATAATGTTACCATTTTATATTATGAGTCTCAATATCCTAAGAAATTAATAAGTGAGTGTCTTATAACTTTAGAATCATAGTGAGTGATCACTTTTAGTCAAAATATATGAATTAGCTCTACGTTTTTCTTTTAATCGTTTTGTTTATTTTTACCGTGTATGTGTTTAAATTTTATTCTAAGTTAGTCCTTTCAGTGTGATATGTAATATTTGTTTTATGTATGGTATAGATTGTCATATATGTATTGAAATTGTTATGTATGTAATTGTACAATGAAGTTTACTTAGTGATGGTCAACCAAAATCGTATCTGACTAGGATCATAGGATAGAACAATATCACGAAAAAAATTTTTTTAAATCAAATTATAAAAATTTCGTTTAGAATCACATTTTAGAATTAGTTATATTAAAACGCGTGCTATTTTTTTGTTTACTGGAGCAAAACTTTTATTGAAATATGAATAATAAAAAAGTTTTCAACAACATTCTGTTTTAAAAAAGTAACGAACAAATATCTGTGTAAAACAAAACAACATTTATGTTTTTTATATGGATATCAGTTACAACATGTTTATGAGTCGTTCTGGTTTGAAACAGAAATTGCGACTGATTGTAATTTTAGCTTAGCTAAATATAAATTATTGAACATTTTTCCTAACAATTCGAGAACTATGTTACTCATATTTTTGTAAACATATTTTTTTTGCTAAGTATGTAATGCAGACAACTTGATACACATAATGAAACAGTAACCGATTATCAGAATAGATATTATCTGACACGTAAAAACAATAAAATGAACCAATAAAAATAGTTTGATAGGTTTCATGTCCTATTTGTAAAGACTGACATTGAAAATCACTGTTAAAAATATACCTTTACGTACATTGCGTCTTTTTTGGCATTCAAAGTACAAAAGGACAGAAACAATAACATTGTAGCGTGGGTCATACTTGTACAATAATATTTGCTACACACGTAAACGTCGGATGCTTTGGTAATCATGAAATATTTTGAAATAGGTATTTATGGTTGCTTTGCTCATTATTGCTGTCAATTGTCATATTTTTCAAGTTAATAAGTGTTTATAATATCAATTAATAAGTAAAATAATATTTTATATGTGCTAGTATATAAATTATAATTATATCTATGTATTAAGCTGTAGTCCATATCCTCCGAATTCCTACTTACTTCTTGGTCACGTTCCCTGCACACTGACGCTGACAAGAGAAAAGTTTCAATTATTATAATATAAAAGACGAATGACGTCTAAGGACAGATATTCTCTTTGAGTTCTTGTGACGTGTTTCTTATTGAATGAAATATTACTTTTACATAAATTTTTATAGTAACAAATTATTTTATTTCGTGTTTTTCTTTATTTAAATAGGAACAAAAATTCTGTTGTTAAATCTTTTAATTTATAAATTGTGTAAAATCTTGTAAGTTAGTTTAACTTCAATAATAAAAATAAAACAACTTAGGATCTTTTTACTATCTCTAAAGTAATTTTAAACAATATTCACATTGAAATTGTAATAAAAAATATTGTAACAACAAATAACAACAGGAGTATAGCTAATTTTAGTGACTTTATGTCTACTTACGGTAAAAGAAATGCCATCAAAAACAAAAGTTGTGTATAAAAACCGAGTCTCGCTACACAGTTCTTCTACCGGTAAAAGTTGTGAGATGTATGTAATACCATAACAATTATTAGATAATCTAATAACATCTTATGTATGACAGTATTCATTAGAAATTGTTTACAATGTTCCCTAGAACATACGTGTAATCAGACCTTAGAATAAAGTGAGGAGAACTTTTACTTACATAAGGCACCTAGTACCTGAAAATTGGTCAAGGGTATAAGCTAGCATATAATATGTACACGCCAAGTAAGTAAGTTTAGTGTACACACCAAGGTAGGATTCAAAAATTTATTCTTTATATAAGTCCTAGGAATGTAATATTTAGTTTCATCTTATTCCCGCGACAATTTGTATATTGTGTCAGCGAACTAGTGAATGTGAATGTAGCGACGGCGCGTGATGCTGTCAGCTCTGATGGACACTGAGACATGATGTGTTACCGGTGTTATAATATGTAGTATGTATTAAATACTATTTGTTATAAGTGGCTTTATTTAAAAGAGATTACATACTAAGTACAAACATTAATCTAAATATAATAATTAACAAATAAATATTAACGATAAATAGATGTTATTTTATCATTTTCTGAGTAAAAAAAAAACTTTTAATTTAAAAAAGTCTTATAGTAAAAATAAAATTATCAGTTATTAACATGTTTCAAACATATTTACTGGTAACCGTTTGTAATAAATGAATTTAATAGTAAGTTTAGTTCGCTAAATGCAAATAATATTTGATTATTTATAACTCATGGCATACATATATTCCAACATTATGAAGTATGCTTAAAAAAAGTGAATTAACCTTTTTTATGTAATGTTTGAATCATACATTCGTTTGGTCAACTTAAAGTTATGTTAAGGACAGTTCCATTCTGTTCAGAACATTTTATGTTTTTATGGACACAAAATGAGTTTTCTTAGCTGCTTTATGTATATTTTATTATTATTCAATTTGGTTTTGAATGTATGTTGTAGAAGAGCACTTAAAACCGGCAATAAGCTAGAGATGATTTAAGTAATATGTGTCTTTGTCTTGAAACCAATGTACTATAGATACTTACTTTATAGCAATCACTGGATTAACGCTTCTTTAACTAACCACTGTAACAAACAAATAATTAAGAAACTATAGAAAATATGTTTCCATTTATCAATATCAGTGATGGAACTATAGAAGGCTTCTGCATTTTTGCTTTTTGTTAGAAAATGATAAAAAGTCATAGTATCTATTAAAAATAGTTTAAGCCAACGAAGACTCAAATAATTTCTCAAACAAACAAGACTCAAACAAAACAGTTTGTTAATGGGAATATAGATAAGAATAATTATTATTTAAGGAACAAACCATCACACTTCCTTATACACAACAACAGCTAACAATATTTGTATACAGTCTTCCTTTGACTTTTGTATTTTTAGTGAATAAAAATAACATTGTTACATCTTAAAGAACAACATAGTACAATATTTTGACGTCTTTTTTATGATCATATTGGAACTAATACGTGGCATCCTTTATACTGAGTAAAATGCCGATGTGATAAACATTAACATGTAAGTAAAACTAAAGGAGTTTCAATACTTATGGAGTAGTATGAACATTCGGATTGTAATCTTAAATAGGGAGGATTTATTAGTTTATAAGACATTTAACTAATTAATGATTTTTTTTCCTTTTACATTAAACATAAACATGTAAGTAACATTTAGCACGAAAACATTGTCAGTGTTACATATTATTATAGGTATGTTGTTGCAACATATTGTGAGAATATTTTCTATTAAAGCCATTTTCTATTTGATCCCTAATTATTTGACTTTAAGTAATGTGTGGACAACTAGAAGCGAATATGTTAAATTAAAACTAATTTATTAAAAAATTCTGTTTTTGAAAATTTAAAACATCAAAACCTTAGCCCTAATCAAACATTAAACTAGAAATACAAGTAATTATTAAAAATACAACCATTTAAATAATAGTTACCATACAAACATGTATGTACATATAATATACATCCAGCATTGTACATATTATATTAAAATATGTTTTCTATATATCTTTGTGTGAAATTTTTCATTCAAAAAGAATATTCTATCCAAATATATATATATATATATATATGATATAAATATTTTTGTTTGCCATCAATTGTCTTATAACTATTACTTACCCCTGTAAGCAGTTTAAATACTGTACATGCCTAGTGACTGTTCACATAGTGTAAACGTCTTAATGAAAGCTCACTAGAAAAAAATATCACATGCAATTGTTGTAATAAAAATATTTTATTATTTGTAATATAAGTTAATAAGTTTATTATTTAGAGAAGTAATCAACTTAGTAATCAGTTTTAATGACTATTGTTATAGAGCTAGAGCCAGGGCCAGCCAGGCATTCGTTGATTTACAAAAGCTGAAAGTTTTTCTATAGATGTACCCAATATTATATACTAGATATTAGACAAAAAGTAAAAGTAATAATAAGCATAATAAAAATATCTTTTTCGTTAAATTTCTTATTGACAAATTACTTATGCCCTCCCATAATATACAGGGTGACTGGTGAATTACTATCAATATTTAAGGAGAATACTCGGTACATGATTCTCATTCGAATTATGTAAAAAAAATAGGCACTTAATTTTTGACAAAATTTCCGTATAAATAAGTAAAGTGTTGACACGTTCCAAGTGTTCAAGTGTGGACGCGTGCGGCGGCGTGCTGATACAACACTACGTCACGACACGCGTATGTGTGAGTGTGAGTGTATACCTAATCTGTAGGGTGTGCACACGATGCGTAATTAATTACATAACTTTTGGTTAACTTTACTTAGAAGTTTATTAATATTTATGTTATATTAATTTTTATTTCGTCATATATGATCGTCAAATATCACGTCCTCAAATA